GCAGTTATTATATTAACCTAAAATCACTTGCAGACCTCTCTGAAATTTTTAATTATAAGATTTTTAAAAAGTATATTTTCAGTATGTTGAAAATAAGACGGCATTCATATGAAAAAATATACAATTTGAATTCTTGAAAAAAATGTAACTTCAGATTGTTACTTGTCTGGTCCTTAGGCTACAGGTTCTAATTTCCATTGGACTACAGGTTCTAGACTGTGACTCTTACTAAAATCATAGATAGAACTCTTAAACAGACTCTCCACTCTCAAAAAACCTGATTTAATTGGTCTAGGAAGTACCTGTTTAAGCTCCTAGTTATTCTCTAGTGCAGCCTGGGTTCAAAACCACTATTACAAATCAAGTCCACATTTAAAATGCATGTAACTTTGCAGCCACATGCATGGAATTTATAAACATTTAAGAATCCTAATCCTTGTAACATGTGGCCTATGGTAAAAGACTCTTAAATTAGGGTTTTTTTTTTTCCCATAAATATGACAAAACAAGCTTTGAACCTTTTGTTTCTAATTTTTAAAAAAGCTAACCAGGAAATGCTCAATGATAAGAGTAATCAGAAAATCTTGTGGGCTGTTCAAAATAGACTTGGTAACATTTTCTCTGGGGAAAAAATAGACACCAATACAGAAATAAAGCCCGCATTTGTCAAAATGTATGTTTGTTCATTTGATTATGGCCAACTTATTATTTCATCAAAAATTACTGATTCTTGGAAATATATGACAAGGAGCTTGGTTCATACTCCTTCAACTTATTTCCAACAGTAGGCTGGGAGTTAAAAAAGTTTAAAACAATGTATTAGTTCAAATGCTGTCACAGCACAGCTCAGAGGCAAATACAGCTTTTCCATCGTACTACATACTTCAAGTGAAAGTCCTGTTATAGGACTTTGCTTCAGCTTTTTTGCCTTGTTTCAGCTTTGCCTTCTCGTTTCAGCTTTTATAGTATAAATAAGAGTCCTTTTCGCAGTCTATTTAGTGCCATATTTTCTGCATTGTTTTCATCTTTTGTTAGTCTTCTGTTTAAAATGGGTCCCAAGCACAGTGCTGAAGCACTGTCTAGTGTTCCCAAGTACAAAAAGTTTATGATGTGCCTTATGGAGTAAATATGTGTGTTTAATAAGTTTCATTCAGGCATAAGTAACAGTGCTGTTAGCTGTGAGCACAATGTTAATGAATCAACAATAAATATTAAGTGTCTTCAAACAGAAACACACAAAACAAGGTTAGTATTTATTGGTTGACGAAAATATTGTGACCAAAGGCTTGCAGGAACCTATCCTCCCACTAGCAACAATGGTTCCACTAAGTTCCACTAGGAACAATGGCTCACTATTTGCTAATTCAGTGCTCTCAGTGACTTTACAAAATCTAAACACTATGAATAACAAGAATAGTAGACTGCATGTAGAAATAAAATATATGACAACAATAGCACAAACGACAATAGGAAGAAGATAGAAACATACTGTTCTAAGGTGCATATTATATTATAAAGTGGTATGATATTGTTTGAAGATACTCTGATAAGGTGCACTAGAGCAGGGGTTTGCAAATATTTTCTGTACAAGGTCAGACAGTAGATTATAGGATTGGTGGTATTAGACCATACAGTACTATATGGTCTCTGTTATAGCTACTCAACTCTGCTGCTGCAGAACGAAAGCAACCATAGACAAAATATAAATGACTGAGCAACTGTGTTCTAATAAAACTCTATTTACAACAGGTGATAGGCCAGATTTGGCCTATGGATACAGATTGCTGACCCCTGCATTAGAGGAATTGATGAAAGAAATTTGTAAAGAGTATAGTAAACCAGCAGTGGAGATACTATGGAATTATATAACATAATTCAAAACAAGGCAAAACGAACCCAAGAACAGAAAGGACAAATAGAAAACAGCAAAACAATCTATTTAAACCCATGTTTTCTATATGGAAAACAGTATTAAATAGAAATGGTCTAAACACTTAAAAAGCAGAAGTTGACAGTGAATTTAAAAAGCATACCCAACTACTGGAAGCTGCACAAAATTCTACTTTATGTAAGGAAACAGAGAGGTTATAAGTAAAGCATGTGAAAATATATCACAATGCAAACACTAATTTTTTATGAATAGAATGATTAATACCAAAGTATTAGCCCCTCACTTAAGACAGTTCCTCACTTAAGATGATCTGACATACAAAGTTTCAACTTTACAGTGGTGCAAAAGGGATAGATATTCAGAGAGCTCCTCAACTTACAATGGGATAAACTCACCGCAGATTGAAAATATCATAAATCAAAACACACTTTCAACTTAACGTTTTCTTTCTTTTTTCTTTTTGAGATGGAGTTTTGCTCTTGCTGCTCAGTCCAGAGTACAATGACAATCTTGGCTGACTGCAACCTCCACCTTCCAAGTTCAGGTGATTCTCCTGCCTCAGCCTCCCGAGTAGCCAGGATTACAGGTGCCCACCACCTCGCTGAGCTAAAATTTTTTTAGTAGAGATGGGACTTTGCCATGTTGGCCAGCCTGGTCTCGAACCCCTGACCTTGTGATCCTCCTGCCTCGGCCTCCCAAAGTATTGAGATTACAGGCATGAGCCACCACGCCTGGCCTCAACTTAGTATTTTCAACTTGCCATGGATTCATCAGGACATAACCCACTGTAAGCCGAGAAGCATCTGTAAGCTTCAGAACAAGATCCTGACAAATTATATTGAAAAAGGCATCAATATATCAAAGACTATAAAAGTCCCAAATGTGTCTGCAAAGAATGAGAGCATCAAAAAAAAAAAAAAACAAAAAAAACAAAAAAACAAAAACAAAGAAAAAAACTGACAAAACTAAAGGAGAAACAGACAAATCTACAATTATAGTTGGGAGATTTCAATAGTCCTTTCTCAAGAAAAGATAAAGTAGAAAAAAGTCAATAAAGATATTGAAGATTTGAACACTATCAACCAGCTGACATTTATAGAAAGCTGCACTCAACATGAGTAGAAGACACGAGAGAATGGGGAAAGTTCCTCCTGAGGAATGATGATTCCACTGCAAGAGTCATTGTAAAATTCAGTTTACTGTATCTATTTTATGCTGCTATATTCACTATTGATAATTATTTTATATTTGTATAAAGTTTACACTGAATTATCCTTTTTAAGTTACATCTTATTTCCTTGACATCACTCTAGTTGCTCACAGATGATTTTTAATCTAGTTCTCCAAGAATTTCACCCATTGACCCACTCCTCACATTTATGTTAATGAAATAACTGATTCTAGAATAATCTTACAGAACATTGGTAAGCCTCTGTAGAAGTAAATCAGTTAGCTCAATTTAGCCGTTATACAACATATACATATTTCAAAAGAACATGTTGTATTCAATAAATATATTTGGAAAAAATAAACGAAATTTCCAAAGATTGAAACTAACTCACAGAGATTCATCAAAAACACTGGTTATGAGTTTCTATGGTCTCAAATAAAAAGGTAACATTACATTTAAGTTACAAATATGTATTTAAATATTTTCTTTAAGTAAAAAATTACAATCTTGTTGCAAAAGTATTTGAAAAAACTCTGTAAAGGATAACGGAAGGGAAACTAAAAGCAAAAATATGGAAGGATACAGGGTTCTACAGGTCTACAGAAGTTATTCTTTCTTAGGAATCATTTAGACCACATTTACATAAATAAGTCACTGTTAAAACAAAGGCAGCATAGGTCATTTCACAAGCTGCATAACATTTTTGGGTTGCTAATTACTTTTATAACAGAAGATAATGAAAAACTATATAAAGCATAAGGAATTGAAACAAAAACAGTAAGATGAAGGGCCTGAATTCCCAGAGAGATAGGATTTTTGCAAATAGAAAGTTTACAATTTGTTTGAAACAAATCTAGAACATGCTTGAAAATCCATTAAAAGTAAAATATAACCAATTCATACAACCCATATAAACAGTTTTGATAACACAGAAAACACACTAGCCTCATCCATCAAATCAGGATTATTACAGATATTTAGCTAAAGTTCCTTAAAAAAATGGCACAGTACAAGGAAGAGGGTGAATGAGAAACAATATAAAACCACCCTGAATTTTCAAATATTTTGTCATATATTCAAAATTAATTTACCTATTTTTTAAAAGACGGAGAGAGAGAGTATGGTCCTATATTAAATGACGGTTTAGGAAGATTCCGAATGTCTTCTTTGAAAAATAATCAAGTTCTAAAGAGAAGGAAATGGATAAAAAAGAAAGAGAGTGCAGAACACAGGGTACCTAGAAAGAACAAGGTATGGACATGGGACTTGGCCACTAGCTACTGTGTCCCAGGGGGCCTTGTGCCCTCTACCTCCTATTTTCTCTGAAAACAAATGAGATTTCTTATGCTGCCTTGACTCTATACAGATTTTCCGGCTTTTAAGAGACAAACAGAAGAGTGATACTTCAAAGCTAGAATAAATGTATTTTATTTTTTAAGACCTGAGTCTCATTCTGTTGCCCAGGCTAGAGTGCAGTGGCCTGATCTCAGCTCACTACAATCTCAGCTGCCTGCCCCTCTCCCTGCGCATGTCCTGCCTGAGCCTCCCAAGTAGCTGGGATTACAGGTGCCCACCACCATGTCTGTCAGATTTTTGTATTTTTAGGAGAGATGAGGTTTCACCATGTTGGCCAGGCTGGTCTTGAACTCCTGACCTCAGGTGATCTGCCCACCTCAGCCTCCCAAAGTGCTGGGATAACAGGTGTGAGCCACCATACCTGACCAAATAAAGGTATTTTAAATCTGGAATATAAGCACCAATTAGCTAGACTCCGAAATTTCATACTTTAGCCTCAGTCACAGGCCATCAGAACTCTTCCAAAAATACTCAGAATAAATTATTGATGGATCAGTATGTCTTAACTCACTCATACATGTGTAATTTATAGGAAGGCATCAGCAACAATATTACTATTGACATTAACAGCACATACAGTACCTTTTGATAAACAATGGAGCACACAAGATCCTTGACAGCAGATAAAGACAGTTCCTGGGCTTCAATGGTAACACTCTCCCGTGTGAGGCCAATTTGCAGTAGAAATGAAACTGTATGCACTGAGCCTCTGGAGTTGGTGAGCGATGGTGCACTGAAGCTTCCATTAGAGAGTCGGACAGAGAGTCCCGTCTTAGGACTTGAACACGGAGAAGCAGTTGGAAGCACAGCAGGAATAGCCGAAGATAATACAGACTTCTGGGCTGATGGAGGGGAATTATTTGCAGACATCTGCCTTTCTTTAATCTTTTAAAATAGTTGTCAATTCTCTTTCAATGGTTATGAAGCGGTTTTTAAAATAACAGCAGTAAAGAAAATGACTGCACTTTTGGATTTAGTTGAAAGCTTCTTTCTTTCCTCTTTTAAGCCACTCATGCCGATGATAAGTTTTATCAATGAGTTGAATGCACAAAAGGTCCTACTTCTCTTAATATCAGTCCCATCAAAAAACAGTCTTGTCTGTAGGAAGACAGCCAGGGATTTG